TATCTAATTGAATTGTAGAAGCTGTCAAGGGAAAGCTGTGGCTTTTAGTAACTGGGGAACTTAGAGTGACACAAGTGTGCTTATGTCAATCCAATTTGATTTAAAGGCCAGAACTGCAACATTAAAAATGTTAATTGTGAATACTGTATTATATTCAGCTATACTGTCTGATGAATACACTTTTCCATCCACTAAATACCACGGTTCCCACAATAACTAACGTCACTGACTATTAGCAGTAGCTGCTGTGAAATGAGTCCAATTTAGTCTGATTATAGCAAACATTCAAAGTTTTAAAACCTGATCCCAATAAAGATAAGGAAAGTTTCTGTTACAATAAAAATTCTTTGGATATAAACTGCTGCTGCTCATGCCAGCTGTGTACTTGTACTGCTGAAAAATAAGCAATTGGTACATATGTCTGTATTTGTAAATTCAGTCATTTGCTTATTCCTCATACAAACAATAGCATAGTTCTTGTTTAGGCACAGAACCCAAATATATACATACATACATATTTATAATATATATATATTCCCTGTGTAAATCTGGCCTGACATTTTTGTTCTAATCTTTGCAAATGCATCACATCTGAAGAGCCCATTTTATAAGGAATAAAAAATTCAGATTGTGCCAGTTTCATCCTTGATGTAACTCTGGTCTTAGAGCCATGCTGGGCGCAAAGTTTGGGGGTGCTGTAGCACCCCCTGCACTCCTGCTTCCTGCAATTATGCTTATATTCATAATTGGTTATTTATGGTATCTTAGATTCTGTGAGCAATGTACATGCTACAAAAAACTTTAGAACTTTTATGGAACTTTTTATCCTTTCAAAAATTAAATAGTAAACATAACTAATGAACCAGGAATTGTTCCATTGTCCTCACAGCATTGTTTGTTGTTTTTGTCACAAAATTACTGTCCGTTCTTAATTATACTACTAATAATACACATTGAAATGAGAATTAAATAACTCATCTGTTTTATAAGAATCGGGTCATTATGAAAATGTTCTTGGGGCTCGCGGTGTAACTAATAAAGATAGTTATTTGATTAATTGTATTTTACTAGTGATCACCTTATGTATGGTCTGACATTATAGAACAATTGAAGTGATACAGTGCCCAGTTGTACTGTGCATTTCTAAGGAATATATTATTGATATCACTTGGCTAACACCTTCCAGCTCTAGCAGCTCCTTAGTTTCCAGTTGATAGCATGGTCTTGGGCACATACTTACCCTTTAAACCATTATGAAAATTATTGAAGAGAGGAATTCAGCCCTGGCAGAGCAGATGGCAGGCTTGCTTTCGTCGTGGTGATATTCGATCCACATTGAGCTCAGGAGATGAAATAATTGAGTAAACATGGATTTTCTGCATTAGATGTTGAGTCCTGTGAGATATATATGGTGTTGAGCTCCCAAAGGATTTGGGCTCCAGGTCTGTACTCTTTACTCTGTTTTGGGTCTGGAGCAACTCAAGGATATCTGTGGTCAAACCCAGGGAGAATACATATAGTAACCACTTAGAAGTTAGTGATAGAAGTTAATGCACCTCAGAGAACTCAGGGGTCAAAATAATTAATTTCTGATCCTACAACCTTTTCTCTCACAAGGAATCCTACTGACTTGCAGGAGTAATCTATCAGGACATAGGGCCCTCCCCTCAGTGGCTTAGCATCTCACAAACACTCATGAATTTCTCTTCAGAACACCCTTGTGAGGTAAAGCTGTAATAGTCGCTCCACTGAAGTGTTGGATTCAGTGACTCTTGCCCAGATATCACAGAAGGACTGTAGCACAGCCGTACTGCTGTAGCTACGCCATTGTAAGGTCTCTCATGTAACCACTTTATGTCACGGGAGAGAACTCTCCTGTCATCAGCATAATTAAACTATTCCGAATGAGCAGCATAGACCTGTTTGCCAGAGAGCATCTCCCACTGACATAGCGCAGTACACACTGGTGAAACTTTTGTCTGTTGGGGATGTGAAAACCAGTGTAGACAGAACCAAGTTGAAGTCAATGGAGCTGTGGCAATTCATGCCTTCTAAAGAGTTGTCTGAATATTTGACTTCAACTTTATTGTTTTTATGTTAAAGAATAACTTATTTATTAAATTGAGGTAAACGATCACATTGTAAAGAGGCATACATGTCTCTTTGAAAGCACTAGATGTTGGGGCCATGCCTTCCTAAATTGTCAGGTTTTGCTGTACTGTATGTCTAAAATTGTGCATTAAAATATTACATCTCTCACTGAAGAAAATTATTCTATTTGCTGATGCTAATAGTTTTAAGCATGGTGATTACTTCATACTAACACTTATATTTGCCCCTAACATAATTCTTATATCCCAAAGGATTCCAAATCAATTCACAAATTACAGGTCTGTTTTTCGAAGTGGCTTTCTAACTTGCTGTTTTTGTGGGGGCAAATGTTTGTGCCTGCAAAAGCAGCATTTGTATGCACCATTTACAGTGGCATTTGTAGGTGCAAATGAGACTGTTGCATCTGCAGTTGCCAGGCTAAGGCTACATCTATACCACACTGGGGACCCATGCTCTGAGATCAGTCCACCGGCGGTTGATTTAGCAGATCGAGCAAAGACCCGCCACATCAACTACAGAGCACTCTGCAGTCGACCCTTGTACTCTACCCCCAACAAGACCCTTGTACTCTACCCCTCTCCCACGCAGTGTAGACTCTGCGGTAACTTTACCTAAGATACGTTGCCTCCAGCTACATTATTCACATAGCTGGAGCTGGGTATCTTAGGTTGACTTTCTGCAGTAGTGTAGTTATAGGCTTAGTTTGGCAAATGCATGTTTCAGTAATAAGACTGAAGGTGAAAGCAGTGTGCTTATTTGACCATCTACACCACAGGGATCTCTCCAGTCAATTAGAGATGACTGAGAGTGAGCCTTGAAGGTAGCCCACCCTCTCCAGCAGTATCCATGAGCTAGAAAGCACACAGTTGCAGTACTGTGTGGGGCTTGAAGGTGGCTGTGCAACTCTACAGGCTCCAGGAGGGTTGCAGAGGTCCTCTGCTCCTCTACTATGAATAAACAAGCACAGAAAAAAATTGCAATTGTTAGGTTTTGTTTGAGGAGTGTGGTTTTTTTTTTTCCAGAGGTTAACATGTTTGACCTCAAATGGTACCCATTCTCAGTGGCTTACTCTGAAAGCAGGCTAAAGGATTATAGAAATTAATAGCAATGGTTAATTTCAGACCTGTTAGAAAACAAATAGTAGAGCACTTGAGGAGGTGAGAACTGCGAGGGAGCAGAGAATATGTGTTCACTCAGGGGAGGCCAGTGGGACTTGCCTTCCTTTGCCAATAATGCTAACACAGAATGTTCTCTTTACAGTACACTGAGTACATTATGGTTCCCACAGCCCCACTTCAGTGAGCATCTTTCAGACTGAGCCATTGCCTTTTTTTAAGGCCAGGAGCCATCATTGTTTATTCAGATACCCTGTGCAGGCCCAATACTCAGGGTGTATGATGCCCCCTGCTGCTCTTTCATGCACATTGCAGATTTTAGGATGGCATTTTTCCAATGTTTCCAATTACAGAGCATTCATGAGATGGACAGATCTTTGTTAGTCTCTTTGGGAGCTGCCAAAGGAAGGGGCAAAAGAAGTCTTTAATGGTTGTTGATAGGCTTTCACAACAAAACCATTCCAGAACCTTGTGACCTGGCAAAACACATGATCCCTGCTAACAACACAAAAGATGATAAATTGCAGGTCGCAGCATTTATTCTACTGGTTTAAAAATCATTAAGCTTTGTTTGGGCAGGCAGTTGCAGGTTTGTGCTGCTTCTGTGTTCACAAGGATAGTTAATGAACCACTGGTGGTCCCAAGGAGAACTTGAAAACCATTGTTTAAAAATGATTCTAGCTGTTTGTCTTGAATGTTCTTTTCCTAGTAGCATTTGCATGGAAACAGGTATCTGGTCTACTCCGCAGTGCTTCTGTACACAAGTCTAGCCGATCCATTTCAGAGGGAGTTCCATATGTGACATGGTACGAGATTGGGCCCATGTCATGAAAGCCTATAATCTCCAGTTGCTCATTTCTTCGCCTGCCTCCAGAGGAGTGGTAAGTTACAGCCACTGCAAATGAGATGTTAACTGCTAACAGGTGAAACAAGAGAAGGTGAGAGGGGACAGGGTAAATATGTATTTTTGAAACCCATAATAAATGCCATGTACCCAGTCCTGCTCTCAGATCTACTTCTGTGTAGTCACATAAATAGAATGATGAATAAACGTGACCCACTCTCTGCTGCAGACTCTTCCTACCTGAAATCAGAAACCTCTGCTTGTCATATCATGTTCATAATATCCTCAGCAGCCCTTTGTGCTGTCACAAGGAGAAGTCCCACCCACTCTGCAACATGATGTGAGTTCAGGTATTTTTACTTATGTAAGCAGGATCTGAAGCAATGCTTCCCTTACAACTGGCTGGAATGGGGGAGAGACCATGGGTGTGTCTATGTAAATGAAGTTTGCTCCTGCTTTGCTTAGATTTGCTAGATATTCAGCAGATTGTGTGGTATTTTGCTCATTGTAATCACCTTAATATGTGACCCAACACCAGTTATGTTTGTATTAGGGATAGCTAAAATATGGTTACCAATGTTTGTAATTTTGAGGGAATAGAGAAAAATAAGGCTGTGCTATAAATTGTTCCAAAGGAAAGAGCTCTCAGTTAGCAGAAATAATCTTGCTAAGCAGAGGCTTGACTTGCTGAGCTCAATAATAGAGAATTATTGAGGGAATTTTATTTTTGTGAGGAGGCTATATGTCCTCCCCTGCCTGATCTGGCTTGACCTGTTTTCCCCGCCCCACTATTCAAAGAACGCAGCTACATAGGCAACGTTAAGAGCCTCTTTCTTATGTTAATTGTGTTGGAGTTTGTGTTTCTTCTATCTTGCTTGCTAAGAGTTGACACCAGTGGGCAGAAGTCACAGCCAAGAGGTGGATGGCAGCGGATGGTAAGAGATGTGACAAGTGGCCAGCAGGGCAGTGAGTGGAGAGATGTGATGAGGGCCAGTCGGGCAGCAGTGGCTAGCAGTGAGCAGGCGAATGGCAAGTGACCAGTGGAGTGAGTAAGATGCCTCTTTACTTTCCCCCCATTCCTCCAGGGCAGGAGGTGAGCTCTGCAGATGCATCTCTGAATTCTCAGTCTGCTCTGACCAAGAGCAGCAGCTATGAATGAGGTGCAAAGAAGGCTTGGACCATGTGAAGGGGTCATTTAGATGTCTGGGCTTAAGAACCCGAGAGGGAAAGAATACTACCTGACCTATTTGGGGTGGGACTTCTACTCATGGTTTGTTTATGAAACCTATTTTTGGTGTTTCCCCAAGTTAATGCCAAGTTACTTCCCTCCCTTAAAAGTTTTTTTTCTACATTCAGATTCAGTGCTTGAGAGTGGGGAAGTATGATCTCTCAGAGGTGCCCCAGGGTGATTTTCCCAGCTTACTTGGTGTGGGGCTCAAGCTGGTTCTTGGTCTCCAGTAGGACAATGTGCTTTGAAGGCTGACACTACTGGGCAGTCCATCAGGGATGATTAGGGTTGGCAACCCTCCAGGATTGTCCTGGAATCTCCAGGAATTAGAGATTAATCTTTAATTAAAGGCTATGTCTTGTGAGAAACCTCCAGGATTACATCCACCCCAAACTGGCATCTCTAGCGATGGTGGGAGTGCAAGGACAAACATTGCTTCCTCCAGCCTAAGGGTCTCAGGGACAACCTGCAAAGGGAACCTGAGAGAGTTTTCATCCTTTCCTGGCCCCCTCTCCCAGCTGCTTCCACAAGAGGGGACGGTTTTCTCAGTAGTTAATATCACTAGACAGTAACTGAAGTGAGAGCTCATCTGACATTGTACAAACATTTATAAAGAAACAAATTCAAGATTAATCTCTGATGTGTAGCAGGTGTAAACTGGCTGTATATCTTCTTCATGGCCAGGCTGCCTGATGGGCTATCTCTCCCCCTTTGTGGAAATGGGCAAATGCCACTTCTAAGTACTGTTGATGAGCGCCTTTCAGCTCAGAAAAGTCATGTGTGGTCCCTTTCTTAGTTTACAGGCAAAAACCTGAAGCCTTTTGACACTTTCTTGGTTTTTCAAGTGTTTACACCAGGGGTCTCAAACTCCTAAGCACTTCCCCAATCCAGCCCATGAAATATTTTGAAACGTTTTTTAATCAGGCCCATGCAGTGGCTGGCCTGGCAGGGAGGAGGGAAGGGGAAGGTGGATGGTGACTCACCCACACTCAGGTTTCCAGCAGCACCCAAGCTCCCCTCTGTGCCCACATAGGTCTAGCCATAGAGAGCACCCCTTGGTTCAGGAAGCTGCGCTGGTTGCCTCCACTGCAAAGCAAACCATGCTGGCCAGGCAGCCGACCAAGCTGACATACTTCTGCAGGCAGCAGGGCCGGTCACTGAGTTTTGCTTTCAGTTACCCAGGATGGGGGCAGGGGATCCCAGTGTGAAGACATGTATGTTGGGGGAGGGGGCTGGTGGGATCCCAGTGTGAGGGTGTGGATGTTAGTGGGGAAGGAGCATCCCAGTGTGAAGACATGGGGGTGTCAGGGTGAGGGCTCAGTTCTGTGTCTTTTATAGGATCCTGGTCTCTGGGTTGCTGGACACACAGGGTATGTCTACACTACCCTCCTAGTTCGAAATAGGAGGGTAATGTAGGCATACCGCACTTGCAAATGAAGCCCGGGATTTGAATTTCCCGGGCTTCATTTGCATAAGCGGGGCCCAGTGTGAAGACATGGGGGTGTCAGGGTGAGGGCTCAGTTCTGTGTCTTTTATAGGATCCTGGTCTCTGGGTTGCTGGACACACAGGGTATGTCTACACTACCCTCCTAGTTCGAAATAGGAGGGTAATGTAGGCATACCGCACTTGCAAATGAAGCCCGGGATTTGAATTTCCCGGGCTTCATTTGCATAAGCGGGGAGCCGCCA